GAGATTATTAAGGATATAGAGTTTTACTGTTTGGTAGAAATACAAAAGTGGTAGCAGTTTTCCGGAAGGATATAATCAAAGGGCTGCATGCCTTTTCGGTACAACGTGGTAAATAAAAGGGAAGAGTTTGGATCTTCTTTGCAGAAACAAATTATTAAGTGCATGTACTTCCCCTTCCCTCAGAGCCAGTGGCTAAATAGTCCACCAGTCACAGGAGTCTCCCGCAGTTCAGTGGTAAAAGCATAAAAAACAACATTAACTTGGCAGCACGAAAGCCAAATGGTTGCCCTTGAAGTTCATCAAAACAAATCCCACTAAAGTTGGGTTGTCGAGCAACCAGCCCAGCGAAAATCTCAAATTGACCGCCATTTCAATGCCGTTAGAATTCGCGTCCATCTCAACCTGTGCAGTCAAAAGTTCGTTTCGACGCGGTCAGCCTGGACACTAGCAAAATTGGGCCCAACGGGTAGCCCCACGATATGAATGATTCAGTCAGAAATAAATACTAACCCACACGTGGAGTGAATATTTTGCTAAACGACTATTTTCAACTATTTTAGTTTTTACACAAGAAATTCATTCCGGGTGACTGAGACCTTTGATGATTTTTGCGCAAAGGGGAAACCAGGGTAAAAGCCATTATATTCTACATCATGACACCCTTATGGCTGTATGACCTAAACTTTTTCCTGTTTGGTAAAGAGATGAAAATACTTCGGGCAAATCAGGAGGAAGGAAGAAAGAGACTCCGTGAACAGATAGAAGCTGAAGCAGCCGTCCAACGAAAACAGATGGAGAATATGGTAAAGGCGAGAATGGTGTAAGTTGAAAAACAAAGACAAAATTTCATGCGAGAGCACCAAACCCTCAACAAACGACTTGCACAAATGCAGAAATCAAAGAAGACCGTGGAGAGCTTGAGACAACAGCTGCTACTCAATCAGAGCCGACAACAGCAAATTGAAAAGCCAGGATTCTTTCACAGAGCGCTGCAAATGACACCGGTCTCGGGCGGGTTCTCTTGCACCCTATCAAAGTGAAGCGTCATGTAAGGCCTCTAAAGTTGTTTCTTATCAAGAACATTGGTTCGAGTTTTAGTGGTTGCATAATATCCGTGTCTAGATTAACGTAATTTGCAAAGAATTAACCACCTTAATGTTATATAATCCGTTTTATGTCAATGGACATGTTCTTGATTCCGTAGATAAACTGAAAACTTGTGTTGTCCATAATACCAATTTGAAAAAAGACCTTAGTCGTTTCTTCTAATTATCAACTAGTACGCGCAAACAAAATTCCCTTCCGGAGAAATTGAGCCCGAAACCTAATAGGCTATTGTAGACTCTGTGTACAAGGGATGTAATAAATGTTTGGGATATTCTTTAGTGGCGCACGAGCGAAAAAAAAGGGGGACAAAGGTCGCGAGGTTTTATTTTATTTATTAGCTTCGCCGACCGGCAGGGACACCGCAACAGCTTGCGACATCTGTGGGCCCTATAAACCAACCATCCCACCCCAGGGAAGGGCATTCATCACACAGTAATCTCGTGTGCGGGAAATTAGCGTCTCCTACCCCCAACCCTGCAGGAGACGGGACTTCCATTTATTCGTCCCTATCCGAGAGACTGCTTACAATCTTTTGACTGTCTCTCTCTTATTTGCCTTTTTTGTTTGTTTCCTCGCCTCAAAATTTGATAGAAATAAAAGCACAGCAGTAAAGAGGAGAGGATGCTAAGGTGACTCTTGATGCCTACTCATCGAAAAGTTCAGCGGAGGACCATTAAAGGGTGGATGGGCGGCTAGTGGAATGAAATACCAAAAGGTTATTTAAAGGCAAAACACAAAGCAAA